GCACATTTCCAAGCCAACTGCGGTTAACATTGGCACGTCGGCTTGAAAAATATCTCCTTTTTGCCGTAAATAACACACATTTCATAGCTGTTGTGGGTTATGTATGTGTTCATCAGTGCTTGAGAACTGTAACTTTGGGGAGCGGGTCGTAATTGTGGGCTTTTAATGCGGTGCTGTCTGTGGCGAGGTGTTGGTAGGGTCTGATCGGAGCTGCAGCCAGAGCGTTTCTCCCGACCAGCGGCTGCTGGGAGCTGGTCCACGGTGAAGCAGCCCACGCAGCCGAACGAGGGCTTCCCGGCTAAGAGCTGACCGCAGCGGCCCCGACGACCGCGGGCCAGCGACCCGAGAAATAACATGGGGAGTCCTGCTGCTGCCTGCTGTTGTTTGTTTTCCGTAGTAAATACCTGAATATGCAGAGACTCAACAGGTCATTCAGTTGTGTGGTATCATTCAGATGATCAAATGAAATGTTGCAACATTAATATCAGTTTACCTGATCTTGATCAATAATCACATTGATGAATTGGTGCATGAATAACTACAGACCCTGCTTCCTGCAGCAGCTTTTTCTGCTCTAGATTTATGATCTGCTATTTGTATATTTCAACGAAAAAGACGGAAATGGCATTAATTATTTAGATTTATTTGTGGATTTTTTTGTCGATGTTAACCCTGTTGTGTCTCAGTTCATGAAGCTGTTTTCAATGTTTCCCGCGATGCCAGCAGCTGATTGTGCCGCAGATGGCCGCGGACATGATCAATTTCGAAGTGCTAGTTCTGGATCAAGTGAAAGCCTGCTGTGCTGTGCCGATGATTTTATTTTGCGAGGATGGATTGAGGAAGGGGGACACACATGCTTAAATATCGACTGTCGGCAATAATCAGATTCATACTCATAAAATACTTGTTTACATGTTGTGTGTGTGTGTGTGTGTGTGTGTGTGTGTGTGTGTGTGTGTGTGTGTGTGTGTGTAACTCTGCCCACTAATCCGTTACGTATTTTGTTTCTTGTTGACATAAATACAAAAATTATGCAAAAGAAAAGAAGTGAAATAACGTACAAAACTAAAATGTATGATCCAGTATCGAACCCGCAACCTTCACCATTGTAGGCGAATGCGTTAGCCACTAGACCACCAGCACTGGGTGCTACATTTCCCCGCAAATTCATACGTTTAAAACACTATGAGTGCTGGCAGTCTTTACAGCAACGTATGTAAAATAGAGCCTTTTTTATTATTATAAACTTGTCGCTTCCGTACAAATGTGAAACAATATATCTGACGGAGATTTCTGCGGAGTTTCTGCACTTTCCTGTCAACAGAAACAGACATGCTGTCTGCCGCTGCCTTCCGCCTCCAGGCTTTTTCAGACTAATAACTGAAAACTAAAGACTGCACACGTTAACTGAACAAAGATTACAGCAATACACCACAACTTTCTCGCTACAAATATCGTCAAAACATATTTATGTGCTCAAACGATCTTAGTTTATCAAATTTTCTCTTAGAACAGCCTGAACAGAGTCCGCCATACTTTCTCTGTTTCTCAGTCCTACATGGACCAATCACATAGCTGTTCTGCATTTCTTCATTTGCATGTAAAGGCCGGATTTGCTCACTAGCTAACTAGTGAGCAGTACAGCGGTCGAACTAGTTAACATGTTACACAGAATGCCAGCCAAGTGTGTATTTATTCAAATTCCACAAATTTACTAGTTTTAGGGGCATTTTTCTGCAGCTAGTTAACTAGTGACAGTGTTTTGTGTTCACTACTTAACATGTAAGGCTCAGTTTGCCCTCTATAAGCTAGTGAGAAAAAATTATAATGCAGATATGCTCACTAGTTAACTAGTGAGTGCTTCCTGTCCCATTACAAGTGAACTAGAAAGGCCAAATATGTCAACTAGTTAACTAGTGAAGGTAAATTTGTCACTAGTTAACTAGTAAGAACACATTTTTACATAACAAGTAAACTAGATTGCTCCAAAAACAGCAACTAGTGTGCGTCTTGTGCGCACTAGTTAACTAGTGAGCATATCTGCACCTCACTAGTTAACTAGTGAGCATATCTGCACCTCACTAGTTAACTAGTGAGCAAATCCGCACCTCACTAGTTAACTAGTGAGCAAATCCGCACCTCACTAGTTAACTAGTGAGCAAATCCGCACCTCACTAGTTAACTAGTGAGCAAATCCGCACTTCACTAGTTAACTAGTGAGCAAATCCGTGCCTCACTAGTTAGCTAGTAAGCAAATCCGCACTTCACTAGTTAACTAGTGAGCATATCTGTGCCTCACTAGTTAACTAGTGAGCAAATCCGCACCCTACTAGTTAACTAGTTGGCGTTTTGGGGCCCACTAGTTAACTAGTGAGCATATCTGCACTTTACAAGTTAACTAGTGATGCTTTTTTGCACCTTACTAGTTAACTAGTGGGTGCTTTAGGGCACACTAGTTAACTAGTGAGCAAATCTGCACCTCACTAGTTAACTAGTGAGCAAATCCGCACATCACTAGTTAACTAGTGAGCATATCTGTGCCTCACTAGTTAACTAGTGAGCAAATCCGCACCCTACTAGTTAACTTGTTGACATTTTGGGGCCCACTAGTTAACTAGTGAGCATATCTGCACTTTACAAGTTAACTAGTGATGCTTTTTTGCACCTTACTAGTTAACTAGTGGGCGCTTTAGGGCGCACTAGTTAACTAGTGAGCAAATCTGCACCTCACTAGTTAACTAGTGAGCATATCCGCACCTTACTAGTTAACTTGTGGGCGATTTGGGGCCCACTAGTGAACTAGTGACACTTATTTTGCACCTCACTAGTTAACTAGTGGACATTTGTACCCTCTCTAGTTAACTAGTGAGCAGTTCTGCCTTCACAAGTTTACATGTAAGTGTCACACTGAAGCCACTACTAGTTCACTAGCTGAGGTTCCTCTGGCCAGCATGTTAACTTGTGTGCCGCATGCAAATGTTTGGGGTGGGATTTTACGAAATTCCGCACTGTGATTGGTTGTCATATTTTATTTTGACACAGGGAGCCAATAGAGAGTCTTAATTTGAGAAATTCTCCGCCTCCTAATTAGAATTCTGCGCAACTAGCTAGCTAGTGTGAATGTAGACTTGAACTAGTTTACTAGTATACATTTATGTCCTCACTAGTTAACTAGTTTGGACAATGGATGCATCAACTAGGTAACTAGTGAGCCTGCTGCCATCAACTAGCTAGCTAGTGAGCCATTAATGGTTCACTAGTTAACTAGTGGCACTGACCTACTCCAACTAGTTAACTAGTTAACTAGTTAGGAGTTAAGCCTTCACTAGTTAACTAGTGTGCACATTTTGGCCATCAATAGTTAACTAGTGAGACACAAAAAACCTTCAACTAGCTGACTGGTATGCACTTTGGCCTTTACTAGTTAACTAGTGAGCCATTTATGTGACAACTAGTTAACTAGTGAAGCCAAAATGTGTTCACTAGTTAACTAGTGCACATTATGTCTACCACAAGTTAACTAGTGTGCACATTTTGGCCATCACTAGTTAACTAGTGAGACACAAAAACCTTCAACTAGCTGACTGGTATGCATTTTGGTCTTTACTAGTTAACTAGTGAGCCATTTATGTGTCAACTAGTTAACTAGTGAAGCCAAAATATGTTCACTAGTTAACTAGTGCGCATTTATGTCTACCACAAGTTAACTAGTGTGCACATTTTGACCCTCACTAGTTAACTAGTGAGACAAATACCTTCAAGTAGCTGACTGCTATGCATTTCTGCTTTTACTAGTTAACTAGTGAGCAGTTTTTGTGTCAACTAGTTAACTACTGAAGCCTAAATGTGTTCACTAGTTAACTAGTGCGCATTTCTGCTGTCACTAGTTAACTAGTGGGCACATTTTCACCCTCGATATTTAACTAGTTGACACAAACATGTCTAACTAGTTAACTAGTGGACAGAAATGGCTTACATGTTCATGACAATTCTGGCTGATATCCTGATTTCAGAATAAATGCTCATTTGGCTTGCCATAGAAAACAGCTTCATGGAAGTCATTCAGAATGATCAGAGATCAAAGAGAACAGGATTATCAAGTCAGCCGAAGGAGAAACGCCAAATGTTATTTTACCTTTTTATTTCCTCAGAGGATCCTCAAAGACCTTTCAGACAAACCCCTCAGTAGTGTTAAAGCTATCATGATCCAGCCACACAGATCCCAATGAATCCACTAAACAGGGTCCAGTAATCAGATTACTGCAGAATGAAAACCAGGGCACGGTGGGTGTGCTGTTTATCTTCAAGCCACGGCCGTCTCAGAAGACACAAAGCACCATCAGTGAGCCTGCTGGTGAATCTGCTGCTTCGCTGCCCAGAGGCGGTCGGACCTCTTAACCCGGGGCCTTCAGAGAGCCCAGAGCGGAGATGGAAGCCAGCCATGAGCTGATGATTAAAATAATTATGTTAGATGTGGTGATGAGGAGGACTGAGAAAAACTGTGTGTGTGTGTGTGTGTGTGTGTGTGTGTGTGTGTGTGTGTGTGTGTGTGTGTGTGTGTGTGTGTGTGTGTGTGTGTGAGTGTGTGTGTGTGTGTGTGTGAGTGTGTGTGTGTGTGTGTGTGTGTGTGTGTGTGTGTGAGTGTGTGTGTGTGTGTGTGTGTGTGTGTGTGTGAGTGTGTGTGTGTGTGTGTGTGTGTGTGTGTGTGTGTGTGTGTGTGTGTGTGTGTGTGAGTGTGTGTGTGTGTGTGTGAGTGTGTGTGTGTGTGAGTGTGTGAGTGTGTGTGTGTGTGTGTGTGTGTGTGTGAGTGTGTGAGTGTGTGTGTGAGTGTGTGTGTGTGTGTGTGTGTGTGTGTGTGTGTGTGTGTGTGTGTGTGTGTGTGTGTGTGTGAGTGTGTGTGTGTGTGTGTGAGTGTGTGTGTGTGTGTGTGTGTGTGTGTGTGAGTGTGTGTGTGTGTGTGTGTGTGTGTGTTTGACCCCGCTCATGTTCCTTGTCTGCAGGCCGTAAAGCTGTAGAGTCAACGCCAAGCTTCCTCTCACCCTCAGGAAGTGAAAGCTCCAAGATGGTGCTACGGGACGAGCAACTGCTGCTGGAGTGTATCGCTGCTGGGCTGTGAGCACACACAAACACACACACACACACACACACACACACACACACACACACACACACACACACACACACACACACGGTGAGCAACTGTTGTTCTTGAATCAGTGATTCCTTATTAACCCTGATCAGGATTCTTTTATTCAACATTTTCTGTAACTGAAGCTTCTCAGGCTGAAGCGGCTAAAGTCCCTCAGGTTTTGCAGAGTTAAACTGGACTCGTCTCTCATTTACAAAACTAATGACTGCTGTTATTTTGTCATTCTTTGTTTCTTTGTAATTACACAGTCACAACTGGGTATTTTAATCGAACAGTCATATTTAATCTGACGTGATTCAGATGGAGTGTAATCTGGATCTGTCTGAGCCATCCTATAGTCCCTCCTATTGTAATAACGTTATTATTATACGTTATTATCTCTATGGTAGTAATCATAATTAGTTATACTCTGTTTTCAGTCACAAAGTTTCTAATCTGAACATCAATAATGAGTGTGGTTTGCATCCCAGTCTTACAGTGTTAATAAGGGTCTAAATGTTTGTCTCCGTTTCAGTTTAAAACAACATAACTTAGGCCAGACCTTCACAAGTGTTTCTGCTTTGTTTGACCTCCAGCCCGACTCCCACCATCAAGTGGTTTAAGAAGGGTGGAGAGCTGGCAGAACGGAAGGTGAGGTTCGAGAACTACAACAAAACACTGAAGATCCTCAGGGTGTCAGAGGAAGATGCTGGAGAGTACGTCTGCATGGCCAACAATCATCTAGGCAGCATTCGTCATTCTATCTTTGTCCAAGTGAAAGGTGAGGAGGCTCCAGGTGAAGTCCTATCTACGTGAGGACGTCTCTTGGGTTAACCGGTCTTTTGTCTCACAGCGGCTCCCTACTGGCTGGATAAACCTACGAACCTGGTGCTGGCCCCAGACGAGAGCGACCGTCTAGTGTGTCGGGCCAACGGGAACCCCAAACCCAACATCCAGTGGCTCGTCAACGGAGAGCCCATAGAAAGTAATCCCATTACTCATTACTTTTCAGTTCCATGCCCTACAGAGAGATCATTTTCACACAAATGGTTTAGACCTCTTTGTAATCTAAGTTTATTTGGTTTATGTTTGTGTCACTTAAGGAACCAACAATTAACATAAAGTTTATTTTTAATCATGTTGAATTTATTTTTGTCCCTTGTCTTTCCGCTTTCCCTCTTCTTCTGGTTTTGCATCAGCCGCTCCTCTGAACCCAAACAGGCAGGTTCTGGGGGACACCATCCTCTTCCACTCGGTGCAGATTGGAAGCAGTGCCGTGTACCAGTGCAACGCCTCCAACCAGCATGGTTACCTCCTGGCCAACGCCTTCATCAGCGTCTTGGGTGAGAGATGGTTTCAGCTCAGTGCTTGACTCCAGATTGAATTCACTTCCGATTCTCGGGGTGATGATTTCATTCACAATTGTTTAGTAACAAAGTGTGTCAACTAGAGTGTAGACTAGATTGTGTGTGTGGTCTGAAGAAGTGTGTCAGTATATATGTGAAACGTCAATAAACAGGTTTTATCCACCTAGTTGCATGTCTTCACATAAACCAGTAACAGTTGAACAGGAAGACCAACAGACACTAATCAGTCTTAACAAGCATCAATTATGCCGGAATGAAACAACACACAAACTAAACAGACACAAAGCCATTTGAACTTCTCGTCTCGTCTTCTTCCACCTATCTGGGTCCGGGTCGCAGGGGCAGCAACCCAACTAGGTATTCCAGACCGTCCTCTCCCCTGCCACCTCCACCAGCTCCTCCAGTAGGACCCCAAGGTGAACCTGGGCCAGTTCGGAGATGTACTTTCTCCAACGTGTCTTGGGTCGACCAGGGGGCCTCCTGCCAGCAGGACATGCCTGAAACACCTCCCTAGGGAGGCGTCCAGCAGGTATCCTATCAAGATGCCCAAACCATCTACTCTGAGTCTCTCCCAAATATCCAAGCTCCTCACCCAATCCGTAAGGCCAGCCACCCCGCAGAGAAAACTCATTTCGACCACTTGTATCCGTGATCTTGTTTGGACTGGATGGTAGTTCAACTTGCTTTCCGGCTCAGGTCCTTCTTCAACTCCTTCTTCACCACAACAGACCGGTTCAGCATCCTCATCACTGCAGACGCTGCCCCAATACACCTGTCGATCTCCCGCTCCCTCCTTCCCTCACTCGTGAATAAGACCCCGAGATACTTGAACTCCTCCACTTGAGGCAGGACCTCTGTCCCAACTCGGAGTTGACAAGCCACCCTTTTCCGGTCGAGATCCATGGTCTAAGACTTGGAGGTGCTGATCCTCATCCCAGCCACTTCACACTCGGCGGCGAACCTCCCCAGAAAGAGCTGTAGGTCAGAGCCTGATGAAGCTAAGAGAAGCTCATCATTCGCACAAAGCGAAGATGAGATTCTCCTGCTACCAAACTCCACACCCTCAACATCACGGCTGCAACTAGAAATCCTGTCCATACGTGCTATGAACAGGACCGGTGACAAATGGCAGCCTTGGCGGAGTCCAACGCTCACTGGGAACAGGGCCGACTTACTGCCGGCTATGCGGACCGAACCCACGCTCCTCTGCTCCAGGGACTGAATGGCCCTTAACAAAAGACCGTCCAGCCCATACTCCTGGAGTCATATATATACACACACACACATATGTATATACATGTATATGTATATGTATATGTATATACATTTACCTAGGTTTATCTGCCCTCCTCTGGTTCTGTTCCCCATTTAGATAATATTATGCACCTGCTTTCCCTCCAGCCTTCACTCCACACACCTGCTGCCTGTTTCCCTAATTGCTCCTCTATGTGTATTTAAGCCTTGTCTTGTCATTCAGTGTTTGTTGGTCCATTGTCGTTTGTCAGCGTTGTTTTGGTGCTCTGTGTGAGCTTTGGTCTAGTCACCTGGTTTTGTGCTCTAAGTGATCTTTTGTCTCCTGTTTTTGGATTTTTGGATTTTTGGCTCGCTGCCCTTGGATTTAATTTTGTTCTCCCTGCAATAAAAATATTTTTACTTAATATCAACTCCTGCCTCTTGTCGTCTGGGTAATCTGCATTTTGGGTCCTAACCATCCCCTCAACGTGACAGAATGGGCCCAGCAGATTACCCAAATGTACCGCTACTATAGTGAGCCAGAGAACTGTTGGACATTCATTCAGGACGTTGCCAGCTGCGTGGACTTGAACTCCTCGGAGTTCAATAAGGTTTCATACCTGGTGCTCTGCCTGGGAGGCAGAGCCCTGCGGTGGGCCACCTGATATTTCAACCTCCATCCCATCGAGGAGGCTTCGTTTTGGCTGTTCGCCAAGGAGCTGCTGGCAAACTTCAGCCCCACAGCACCAACAGCCATCCACATCTCCACTACTCCGATGTGCCAGACCCCCACACCTTCGCCTGGTCCGGTCAGCTCCACCTCCCCATCTCCGGGGAACTGTTACACCTCATCACCCTCTGCTCCTGCCGACGCCATCCCCGCACCTCCGAGGAGACGCACTTGCCGCAGACGTCACACACCTGCTTCGGCGGTGGTCCCGGTGGACTCATCGCATCCTGCTCCAGCGGTGGTCCCGGAGGACGCACCACACCCTGCTCCAGCGGTGGTTCCGGTGGACGCATTGCATCCTGCTTCAGCGGTGGTCCCGGAGGATGCATCGCATCCTACTTCAGTGTTGGTCCCGAAGGACGCATTGCATCCCGATTCAGCGGTGGTTCCGGAGGACACATCGCATCCTGTTTCAGCGGTGGTCCCGGAGGACGCATCGGATCCTACTTCAGCGGTGGTCCCGAAGGACGCATCCCATCCTGCTTCAGCGGTGGTCCCGGAGGACGCATCGCATCCTACTTCAGTGGTGGTCCCGAAGGACGCATTGCATCCCGATTCAGCGGTGGTTCCGGAGGACACATCGCGTCCTGTTTCAGCGGTGGTCCCGGAGGACGCATCGGATCCTACTTCAGCGGTGGTCCCGAAGGACGCATCCCATCCTGCTTCAGCGGTGGTCCCGAAGGACGCATCGCATCCTGCTTCAGCGGTGGTCCCGGAGGACGCATCGCATCCCGATTCAGCGGTGGTCCCGGAGGATGCACCGCATCTGGTCCAGCCCATCCACAAGGTTACGGTCCAGCCAGTCCAAGATGCTCCGCCCCCGGCCCAGCCAGTCCAAGATGCTCCGCTCCCAGCCCAGCCAGTCCAAGAGGTTCCGCCCCCGGCCCAGCCTGTCCAAGAGGCCCCTGCTCTGCAACCTCAGCCCGAGCCCCTCCCATTAACCAGCAGATCATCCGCTTGTCGTAGACGTCACCGCCATCACCAGCAGTCTCCCGAAGTCAGAGCTGTGCCGCCTGTCCAAGAGGCCCCTGCTCTGCAACCCAGGACTGAGCTCAAGGAACCCTCCAAAGCCAGAGTTGTGCCATGTTCTGTGTCCCCTTGTTCCCCAGCCCCTCCAGTTCCCACTCCAGGATTTCCTCTTGTGCCCTCTGTAGACTTCCCTCAGGTGTCTTTCTAATCTTTCCCCATTCCTAATCTATCTTTATTTAGTCCTCCTTATCCCTCTATTTATTAGTTGTTTATTTTTGCCCTCAGTCTTTAGGTTTAGTTTTGTGTTCAGTAGTTTTAGGTTTATCTGCCCTCCTCTGGTTCTGTTCCCCATTTAGATAATATTATGCACCTGCTTTCCCTCCAGCCTTCACTCCACACACCTGCTGCCTGTTTCCCTAATTGCTCCTCTATGTGTATTTAAGCCTTGTCTTGTCATTCAGTGTTTGTTGGTCCATTGTCGTTTGTCAGCGTTGTTTTGGTGCTCTGTGTGAGCTTTGTTTTAGTCACCTGGTTTTGTGCTCTAAGTGAGCTTTTGTCTCCTGTTTTTGGATTTTTGGATTTTTGGCTCGCTACCCTTGGATTTAATTTTGTTCTTCCTGCAATAAAAAGATTTTTACTTTATATCAACTCCTGCCTCTTGTCGTCTGGGTAATCTGCATTTTGGGTCCTAACCATCCCCTCAACTTGACAATGTATATACATATACATATGTATATGTATATGCTTATGTATATACATATACATATCTATATGTATATGTATATACATAAGCATATACATATACATATGTATATACATATTTATATACATATGTATAGGCATTTGCTTATATATAATCACCGTCCCTTGGCAGCCATTATAATCATCAAAAACCTGCTCTTTTCATCTGAGAAACATTGTCGAGTTCAAACCAATTCAAATCAAATTTCCCACTTGTAGGACTAATAAAGGTTTATCTATTCTATTTGATTTGATCAGACTCAGACCTCAGACTGATGATGCTTGCTTTTATTTCTTCTTGTTTAGATCATTGTAAATGTCTTTTTACTGGTCTTCACAAATCTGCCTTGAACCGTCTCCAAATGGTCTAGAATGTCTCCGCAAGGCTTGTAACAGGATCCTGCAGACGGTCCCATATTACTCCTTAAATCTCCTCCCTGTGCTGGCTCCTGGTTAAATACAGAACTGATTTTAAAATGTTAGTATTGACCTTCAATGCATGGTAATGTCCTTAAGTATGTATGTGACCTTATGGCCCCATACAGCTTTGGTCACTTGCTGCGGTCCACGGGCCAGAACCTTCTCATGGTGCCTACGATCCACCTAAGCACCAGGGGAGGTGGGTCTCCTCAGGCCAAAGCAGCTGAAGATGTTTTTATTTGGACAAGCTTTTAGTGCTGTTGACTAGCTTCTGATGGAATCATCTGTGTCTTTTATGTGTGATTGGAACTCATTTTATTGTACCTGTTTTTATTGTTTGTGAAAAGAAATAAATAGTTTCTTCTTGTTCAGACATGTCTCCGAGGATGCTGGGCCCCAACAATCAGCTGATCAAAGTGACGGAGAACAAACAGATCTTCCTGGACTGCCCCTTCTTCGGCTCTCCTCTGCCAGTGTTGCGCTGGTGAGAATCTAAAATAAGGTTTTAGGTCTCCTGCCAGGCTGTGTTTAAGCTAGGCACGTGGTTTGTTTTAAGGTTTAAGAATGGACAGGGCAGCGGGCTGGATGGTGGGCAGTACCGGGTGTACATCAACGGGAGCCTGGAGATAAAACGGGCCCGGAAGGAAGATGAGGGCATCTACACCTGTGTGGCTACTAGCATCATGGGCACAGCGGAAAACCAGGTCCGCCTGGAGGTCAAAGGTCAGACATCAAATCACCTAATCACTATACCACAGTAAAAATAACTCCTGTTACTCAGCCTGACCAGGTCCTGGACTCTTCTGGGCTTTCATCACATGACAGGTTTATCTGTTCTCGTGCCAAATAGCCTTCCTGAAGGATTGTACGAGCGTCCTCGGTGCCTTTATTAAACTGCCTTGTGTTAACATTCCTGGTTCCATCTGGTGAGAAGCAGTCCATCTGCCACGCCTCACCTTCTACATCCTGACAGGAAGTCCTAAAAATGACCTGGCTCTGACCCAGACTCATGACTGGGTTGAGATCTGGGTGGTGGAGGTGACAATCCATATAGAAACCAGGTGCTTCATGTTGTGCAGAACCAGAACTGCGAGTGATGTCACACTTAGATGGCTGATAATGGTTGTTTGTCTTTTATGATTCAACCTTTTGACCCCCAAGTCTTTGGCCTGACCTGATCGCGCTGCGACCACCCAACTCCCCATTTTCCTTTTGGGATAACGACGTCACCCTGATTAAACCACATCAATCGTCTTTATTTGTTGGTAGAAGAGCGAGATGCCAGCTGGAGTGTTTTAGCCCTGAGCTGAAGGCCAGCCGGAGGAATCAGGACCAACACAGATATGAGTCTTAAGCTGCCTCTCCATGCTTTGCGTTCATGTGATGTGTGTGTGTGTGTGTGTGTGTGTGTGTGTGTGTGTGTGTGTGTGTGTGTGTGTGTGTTTGTTTTCATCATAACTGTGATTCAGAGCCAACTCGTATAATCCGAGCCCCCATGGATCAGTCAGCTGTCAGGGGCTCTGCGGTCCGCTTTGAGTGTGTGGTGAACTCCAGCCAGCCCACCAGCGTGACCTGGACCAAAGACGACAGGCCGCTGTATCTTGGATGGAGGTAGGAGCATCAGCTGGCAGCTTTCATCCCCAGCTCCAGTCCTGTTCCCTTCAAAGCGACCAACATTGCAACTGGTGTGCCGGTTGAATTCCCATGGATCTGCTGTCTGTTTTGTCAAATATTCACAAGTTCTTGAATGTTTTCAACTGATGCTTCAAAGCTGAACTTTGGTCTAGAAAGCAGCTAAACTGGAAGTTTCAGCCATGTGAAGTGGCTTTCTGTGGTAGTTCCCAGTAGTGATGATGGGGAGCTAGCTCAGAGAGGTTCAGATCCAAGGGAGGGGCTCGGGTCAGTAGGTTGATCAGAGCTTCAGGCTTTTGTCTGTAATGACTTTTGTTCTCACCAATTCCATCTAATTGTTTGCTTTACGGCATTCAAACGAGATTCAGCTGTTTAGGAAAAAGTTCACTGTTAGCTAAAACATCTTTTCTGATGAAGAACCGCTGATGTCCCCAGAATCAGCATCAGGCAGCTCTCAGAGGAACGGACGGCGTTTGGAAAACAAAGTGTTGCCTTGAAGATTGTTTTTTATTTAATGAATTGCTTTATTCACATCTTTACCTTAAAAGGGATGACCTTTGACCCAAAAGATGCTGTTAGCTTTCCAACTTGTCTGTTTGCTTTGTGTCTCCAGACTGAAGAAGGACGAAACGTCTCTGACTATTCCCAATGTCAACGAGGGGGACAAGGGGACGTACACCTGCACTGTTAGATCTGAGATAGACCAGGACTCAGCCTCTGCCCACCTCACTGTTTTAGGTACACTTAAGTTCAGGGAAGAACTGAAAGTTACTCAACAACCAGTCAAACCAACAGCATCACTCAACACTGTTTTTATCGTGCACTTATTTAACAATACGGCAAATGAATAACAAAGTCATCTGCATTACTTGGGCTCTCCACCAGGGGGCGGAAGACACAAATTTAATACAACACATGAGGTTTGGAAGGAACTTACAAGTCCTGTAAAGGAGCAGGAGGTCTTTTGAAAGTAGTTGGTTTTACACGGCAACACGGTTTCATCCTTAACTTATCCTTTGAGATGTGAGCTCTGATGGTTTTCCAGCTATTTTTTTTGGCTTTTGGGTCATTTTCTGCTCTTTATCTAAAGCCATATGAGGAGATTTTTTTGTAATGTCACACGTCAGAAAACCTCGGCATGAGCTGGAGACCAAACCGTGAATGAAACCAGACTCTTGACCAACGTCGTGCCACAAGTACGAGTGGCTCCTTCATTCCTCCCACTGACTGCTCCTTCTCAGTCAGACTGACAAAGGAAACAGCACTGATTATATGCTGGAGCTAACACACCATGAACTGCAGAAGGTGGGAGCAAATTAGCACTCGTTAGCATTTTGATCACATTGCACAAAGTGAAGGTGAACACAGCAAGAATTTACATAAACATGAGCAGGGTTTCCTCTCGTTTAAATGTGGGCAGACTGCACCGGGCCTCCTTTGGGCTTTGTGAGTCAGACAGACTAACTAACCAGGGCTCTTCGATCCTGGTCCTCCCTGTATTGTTCTGTTCTTCTGCACAAACACACCAGGTTCGCAAGTGTCTGTAGAAGCTCAGGAGCTGCTGAAGAGGTGACTCAGCGAGCTGCTGCAGGGTAGAACAGCCCTGAGCTGAACTCTGTTCTGAGCTCACACAAGATGTGCAGTTGATGGGTAAATCTGGGTCTTTGTGACTAAATACAAGAAGATTTGATCAGATTTTCTTTGTTTTACTCCATGTGACCCATGTGCCCTGGTCAGATACAAGCTGATTCAGAGATGATTGTTGGTCCTCCTGGATTAGCTCCTGGATTAGCTCCTGGATTAGCTCCTGGATTAACTCTAGATGGCATCGAGATGCAGGAGAGAACATGGCCGATCATGACTCTTGTTCTCGGGGAGGTTTTGGATGAGATGTTCTAGGTCATGTTCCTTCCTCACATGTAGGGCTAAATGAAGCACGTGGTGTTCACTAACTAATGTGCTGTGCTCCCTAGTTGTCGACTGACTAAACTAACCTTTGACCTCTGACCTTTACCCTCCCCTGCTCCGTGAACCCGTTCCACAGAGGAAGCCTCCCCCAACCACTCAGTCTCTAGTGCCTTACCTGCAGGTAACTCACGGCTCAGCTGGATCTCTGTTGGTTCTTTCTGTTCCACCCGTCTGTTTAACTTCTGCTCTGCTGTCCGTTATTAAGTGATAGAGTTGTTTTTGTTAGACAGGAGCTTTAAACCCTCAACAGATTTGTTTTGCATGCTCTGGTTGTGATTTATTTATGTGCTGAATCAGCTAAAGGCTTTTGTAACGCTGGGCATCATGAAGGTGTTCTGTGGCATGCTTTTGGTTCTGGACCCATCGTGTTTGAGCGAGCGTATCCCAAACCGCTGGTTCTGTGTCCTTCTGCAGGCCGACCAGACCCACCTACAGACCTGGACCTGTCAGATCCAACAGCCAGAAGTGTTCGCCTCACCTGGATTCCTGGGAATGAGCACAGAAGCCCGGTGACAGGTCACTTCTCCCCTTTTGACACGAGGTTTCATTCACACAGTGACTTCAGCACATGTTAGGATCATGTCTACATCACTCTTTAGACCGGAGCTCCAGGAGCAACTAAAGAAACTCTTTTACTTCTACGTGCATCAGAACAAGAAGGTGGTTCATGTGAAACATCAACGCTGTGAAACATGAAGATAACAAGCAGTTGATAGATTTCAGAAAAGGCAGGAGAAGCCTCTCTCTTCCTCTGTAATAATTCTGATGAACCACATTTACTGGATCCGTTTCACGAGAGTGAATAGAGCGAGTCTGGGCTCTCCACCAGGCTCTCTGCCCGTTCCTCTCTGATGTTCATGTCCTCACGGCCACGGCTTTATTCTCCGAGGACGCTTGGGACAGTCTGGACCAGAGTGGTGAGGGAGTCCGTCGTATTTGTGTTCGTACTATAAAACTTCTGCTCAGCAGATATTTTTGAACACCCTAGTGGAGAACGCCAGGTTTTCTGTCTCAGACCCTCAAACGTGAGAGCTGAAGTCTCACGCAGCGCTTCAGGCTGATCCCAGATCACACTAAACGATGTTTGCATGTGTTTTCTTTACTTCTTTTAGTTTAAATGAAGGTAAATGAAGCTGTAGAACAGAGATGTTCCTGAGAACCAGCAGGAGACAGCAGAGAGAGGGTAAGGTGGTTAGGTCTGGGCCTGGATCATGCTTGCTGTTTAACGACACGTACGCGTGTTTAAAACGGCTGCCACGCAGAACTTGTGTTGAGTTTAAGTGTTGTTTGTTTGCGTCCCCTGAAATTAATGCAAATCCAAACGCTGCAGTATCCGAGTAACCAGTAGACGAGTTGACCAAACCAGCGAGACACACCCACCACGCTCACCCAGTCTCTGGTTTAGAGGTCTTTCACCGCGTCTACGATTAACCGGTTACTGATCTCTTCTCACGCCACGTTTGTTTTGGTTGAACCCACAAACCCGGCTCTATCCGCTCTGAGTACTCTGGTGAGCTGCTCAGTGGAACATCCCAGTACTACATGCAGCGCAGTGCTGTGCAGCAGCAAGTATGTGAACAAAGATGTTGTCTGCACCCACGCACGGTTCAAAAGTATTCCAGCAGCCATTAGGGTCAGGGTAGGGTTCAGGGTCAGGAACAGGAGCAGCCAGTAAAGCAGCTAGTCCCTGAAGAAACTCATGCTGAGTGTGTTTCCCTGCAGAGTTTCATGTCCAGTTTGAAGAGGACCGCTGGGAGCCAGGAAAGTGGCAGAATCTGTCCGTTTACCCCGGAGACCTGAACTCTGTCATCCTGCAGCTCGCCCCCTTCGTCAGATACCAGTTCAGAGTCATCGCCAGAAACTCCGTGGGTCTGAGTGAGCCGAGCCAGCCCTCCCCTCGATACACAACCAGCGGAGCTCGTAAGAAAACCAGCTGTTAAAGACAATCAAAGCTGGAGCTGTCGCATTCAGGTTCAGGTCGTGTGATCTAGATCTCTTCTGTGTTTTTAACGAAGCCCCTGATGCCATTCCCAGAGACTTACGGGGATGGGGATCCAAAAAGGACAACATGAACATCACCTGGGAGGTAAGACCTTCTGCCATCATCTCACACAGCTGATGGTTGGGAGTAAACACCACGAAGGTATCAGGTCCGTCCTCGTCTCCAGGTCACACACCTGCAGCGCCTTTTAACTGCTAGATTCAAACTTTCTGATCCACATGTTGATGGAAGGTGACCTCCGCTGACCCGGCCCACAGCCGACTTACTGTTTTGTGTGTCCAGCCTCTGCGGGACCTGGAGAGGAACGGTCCACACCTGCACTACTGTGTGTGGTGGAGGCGAAAGGATTCTGGGGAGGACTGGAACAATGTGACCACCTACCAGTCCAAGCATCTTGTACACCCTACTGGAACATACGTGCCTTATGAGATCAAAATCCAGGCCAGGAATGAGTTTGGACACGGACCTGTGTCTAATGTTGTCATTGGATACTCTGGAGAGGACGGTGAGTACACGTTCCTCAGGCAATGAGCATCGTTTGGTGAGAAACCTTCAGAGGAACACAACATGTTTGTTGTTATGTGTTCAGAGCCCACAGACACACCCACTAACCTGCAGGTGTCAGAGGTCACCAACACCACAGCAGTCATCCACTGGACGCCTGTGCACATGAGTTCGGTCCAGGGAGAGTTCAAGGAGTACAGAGTGAGACTTAATATTCGTATTCACCTCCCATCCTAGTGTTTTCCTCCCACAACTCACCTGTTGGAATCCCTAGCTGTACTACTGGCGAGAGTCCAGTCAGCTTCCCGGCCTTGCAGTGAGCAAAGAGAAGAAGACTCGAGGCTTCTACACCACGGTGGCTGAGCCGTCTGGTCTCCTCGCAGACCTGGTGCCCTACTCCAACTACAAGATGTTCATGGTTGTAGCTAACAACCATTTTGAGAGTCCACCCAGCAACACGGTGGAATTCAGCACCAAGGAAGGCGGTGAGGATCCGGTTCTCTCAGCACTTCACAATCAGCACAATTAGACCTCACCTCATCTTTCAGGAACACGTTGGGTCTCTTAAAGCAGACTCTTCTGGAATCAGCCATGTTATCATTCCAGTGAGAGTTCCTCATTGTTCGCTAAGCCCTGCTTTCTACCAGCGCGCTCCCATAAAGGTTCTGTTAGGCCACGCATTAGTGAACTTCTGACCCAAACGTGTGCTTTACCAGTGTGCCGGTGGGTCTAACATCCACCGTTCTTGAATTGCAGTAAACAAAGTCACTCCTAGGGCTGCTAATGGCTCGTGAACGGCACTGTGGACCCTGCTGCTTTATAATGTTGTTTCTCTTGGATTTGTTAATGTCGTAAAATCGCTCCTGCTGTTTTCCTCTAGCAACAGAAAATAAATGATTACTTCTTCTGTTAAGCCGGGCGTACACTGTGTGACTTTTTCACTTTTTTGAGCCGACGTTCCACTCGTGCGAGAATCCACGAGATCGGGGCGAGTTTTGCGCCGAGCGTCGTGTCGTGTACAGGGGGTTACGAGAGGCGATTAACACCACGTGGCCAGCTGCCGATCAGCAATCGTGAGCTCGCACGGACTTCTGGTGTGTTTAATATTTTGCTCGTCCCTCGTGAGGGTATCGCACTGTTGAAGCGGCGCTGCGACCCAAAAAGTACCAGAACCGCTCACGGCGCATGCGCAATCCTGCATCATCGCCGCTCACCCGCTATTTCCCTAATAACACACGCTGTTCGTTTTTATTTCTACACGTTTTTTTACTCACAAAGATTGTCAAGAAAGCGTGTTTGTCGTGTTCTTGTCAAATTAAACTGATCACAAAACACAGATTTACTTTCTTTATTCCTCATCCAACCCCCATAAATCCCTGTGTGTCCTCCTGCAGCACTCCCGAAGGACAACAGGCAAGACAAGACAAAAAAGTCTGACGTGTTGTGTAAAAACTGCTATTTTTAGCATATTTTTAGGGCCGACGTGTTGCTACCAGACGTACAGTGTGAGCAGTCAGGTCGCCTCCGAGAACTGGGTCGTGCAGTCTGAGCTGAAGCTGAGTGCTACGAGTGAAAAAGTCGCACAGTGTACGCCCGGCTTTAGGGATCTCTGTCACTGACCTCCTTCTCTGTGTGGTCATGAACAGATGATTCAGTTACTTTTACTCAAAGTCAAAATACCAGCTGTGGAAAAGCCCAACTGGGGGCCATACAACACAGACACTTTTTATCATGCACCTTGTTTTAATCCCCAAGCTTCAAACCCTGACAGCTGTTTTGTTGTTTGTTTGTTTGTTTGTTTGTTGCATGCTCGTTTGTAGTTCCTGGTGCTCTTCGGTTCTTCAGGATTAACCGCAGAAGTTTGGACACCATCCATCTAGAATGGGACAAACCTCAAGAGCCCAACGGCGTTCTGATCGCCTACCTGCTCAAATACCAAACAGGTGGGCATTTCCAATCATGTCAAAGCAAAACTATTCTAAGTAGCAGCAGAGCATCGATACAGCAGAGGCACACTGGTGCTGTAACACGTATCTTCCAGTTACCTTGAAAAAGTATTCTGATTACTGATTAATCCTTGATGATTAAGCAGCTTACTTTCTTTAGTCTTTACTTGATGTTCAAGCTCAGTGAGAAAACAACTTTATCAGTTTTTATCTTGTCCTTTATCAGAGCAGCTGCCAACTCTTTCCAAAGGATGGAGGTTTTATTAAACACAAACTCTTTTTCAAATGAATGTGGAACAGGGAAACTGTTTATAATCTATCTGTTGATGAAGGTCAGTGGGACCCTTCAAACGGGTCCGTTTGAAGCATGTATGTAACCTTCCTGTCAGCGGGCAGTAGAGGCTGCACCACTGCATTATGGGTCACAGGAGGTCACGTGTGTGTGTGTGTGTGTGTGTGTGTGTGGGTGTGTGTGTTTAGTAAATGGTTCCAGATTGGGTCATCTCCACGGGGAGACTTTCCTCCCTAATGTGACAGAATTCACCCTTCGCCTCCCAAACCCAACCTCCCGCTACAACTTCATGCTGGCAGCTCTCACCAAGCTGGGAACAGGGGTGGTCTACTCTGAGGAGTCACCACACTTCTCCAATGAAGGTGAGTTTTCTTGAAATCAAAGAACAAGGAAACCACCTACATGCACCAGATGGTTCTGGGTGGGCATCACAGCCAGCCCACTCCCACCCTCTCCATCTCTCCACCCTTCCATGGTGTGAAAAGCTGCTGTGAGCTTTCAGGGATTGACCCAGCCTGCTGACGACTCAATGTGCTGAATAAGAGTCTAGATTTTCGTTGCGACCTTATCCTGCTTTGCCAACTGTTAATATTTGTTACCTGAGCTGTGCTTCCTGAGCCAATCCCTGGTGGTGCACTGATGCAGAGCTGCTTGCTGCATCAGCTGTTTGGTTCCTCTCTATGGAGTTGTTGATTTTTTTGGATGTCGGAGGAAATGCACGATCAGAATCTTCTCATTAACTGATGCTAGTTAATGGGAGTGCTGAGAGACCTGCTCACTCCTTCACTGACTGGCTTGCTTTTTAAGCTCTTTCAAACAGTGTCCATTCTGCCATTTTGTCCATCACCAGTCTCCATTGCATCATCGGTATGGTCCAGCAAACCCAGGTAAGGTGGCATGATGCTTTTGGATGCACTTGCCTGCCTTTCTGAGCTTCAGAAGGTCCCTGAAGATGCCGATGTTTCAGTCAAACAGAGGTTTAATTGTGTGTGAATAAACCCAGCCTGGTGATTAGAGCTTTGGGCTCCTCAGCTGGAGATAAGTTTTACATCCAGGTAAAGTATAAGCAAGTGGAAGCAGTTCCCACCCTGACATGAGCATGTTCTCCACAAGAGGGCAGTGTAGCATCACTTAGACAGTAGACAGAAATGCTGCTTGGTTTCTATAAAATGGTTTAAGCGCCTCGTGGTTTTTGTCTTGAGAGGCGCTATAGAAATGATACTTTCTTCTTCTTCTATCAGTCAATCAAAATATTATTTATTAAGGCGCTTAACAACAGAACATTGCACAAGTCGCTGAACAACAATAAAAGCAAAGTTTGGTATAAAAACAAAGAAACCTAAAAGCAGCAAATACAAATCTAGTCATCTGCACACCGACATCATTTCTCAACAGTCCAAAGCCAATCAGAACTAGAAGTGTGGCCTTAAACATAGAGAGAGATCCCTGATGGGGTGCATTTGTATCGGCAGACCATTCCAAAGCTTTGGTCCCACCACTAATTGAACATTGATCGTGGGACCACCAGTAGATGCTGATCCATTTATCCATAGTCTATATATAGAGCATGTTTATGGAGCGTTGCAGTTGACCAAAATGCTGTACATACAAGGATAACATGGTACGAACGACAAAAACAGACCACAGGGTGGACAATAAAATAAATCAAGCATCTCGGTAGTAATTAGAACATTTTAAAGCCAAAAATAAAAGCAGGACTAAGGGTAGGGAAGGCTACGATAACAGAGGCAAACATAGAGAAAAAGAGGGAGAGTGGCAGTTTCAAGAGCCAAAGGCAATGCTGAACAAGTGGATTTTAAATTTGTTTAGTTATGATGCCGTCCGGATGTGCTGGGGTAGTGCGTTCCATAGTTTGGGGTCTACGTGAGAGAAAGCTCAACCCCCACGAGATTTGTAAGACCTCCTTGGCACCGTGAGGACCACCAAGGATGCCACGGTCAGCAGACCGAAGGGAATGTGCTGAGGTGTAAGGCTTGAGCAAATCATGGAGATAAGGAGGGGAAGAACCATTTAAATCAATCAATCAAGCGTTATTTGTGAAGCACTTTACACTTACGGAGTCATCGAAGTTCTGTACATTGTAAAACCAAACCATAAAAAGACACATTGCCAACAATAAAAAAGAAATTACAATGAAACACAAATGCCAATGTCTGTCTGAGGATTTCTGCTCATTCTGTATTAAAAACCAAGCTGGAAAGGTCTTTAAAAGAGACAGAAATCATTCATGTTGCAGCCATCCTAACAATCAAAGGGAGATTGTTCCACAACTTGGGAGCAACTGCTGAACAGTCTCTGTCTCCCTGGGTCACCATGCAAGTCCAGAACTTCTAAAAGTAGCTGGACTTCAGACCTCAAATTTCTCCTGGAAACATGACAGGCATGAGGCAGCCATTGCAAGGAGGACAGGATAGGAGTAATGTGGTTGCGTCGCTTGCTACCTGTGAGCACATGGGCAGAAGCATTCTGCACGAGTTGTAGGCCCCTTAAAAGAGAGGCCGCTAACCCAACGTAAAGAGGATTACAGTAGTCTAGTCTGGAGGTTCTTAAAGCAGGAATCACTGTTTCAAGGCCTTCATACGGCGACTTGACTTGATGCGGGTTACATCACATTAATGATAAAGGCTCTGAACCCAGTTCACTGGATTCTATCCCAGCAGTCACCTGGGTCAACAGTCCATCAGTCAGGGTCAAGCTGGAGTAACTAAAGCATGAACACCCCACAGAGATAGGCCCAAGGTCCCGTTTAGATCTCCTGTGACATGATGGAGAGGACCACCCGTCCACCATGCAGTCATCTGCATCCTGGCAACTTATTAGATTGAGGAAGTTGTCTCCTGTGCAAGCTTTGAGGATATTTAAGGCTCTTCTGTTGAATCAATAGGCATGTATCCATTAGCAGAACTCCAGGGTAGTTCCTGGGATGGGGAACTTGACCAGGAGATAGGATGTCCCAGCCCTCTCAGCTGTTGTGTCTCCATTCAAATCCCACCCTTTCAGAACTTGCACAGATGTCAGCAGCAGGGCTTAATTTGAGCCAGATCTTGCTGGATCAAGATTCGGGATCTATCTTATTTTGAAAGGACCGTTCCGACAACTGTCTGCTAAAATCCGGCAACTCACGCGACCAACTTGTGCTAAACGCAGGGTTCCAATTACGGGTGAGTTAAAGGGATCCCGGCTCACCCCAAAGGATGACAGGCTCCCCTCGAAGCCCCCAGCTTACACACCTAGGGGGAGCCCGAAACGATCCTGGTTCTACTTATATTACATTATTCATGTGGACTCTCCGGGGATTATTCTGAGCTGAGAGGCGCAGAGCTCTGATTGTTGATGCGCTCCAGACAGATGCGTCCTGAGCACGGCCACAGTAACATTATCAAATCAGGTGTCGCCACGTCAAAAACTAATTTAACACGCGATCCTTCGTGTGGGCTCATTTCCTTTCATGCTTTCTGTCTTTTATTTGTGCCTGATGCGTTTCGCTGCTGTGGAGCTGAGTGCATCACCTGTTTTGTCCTCCGGTGACTTCACCGCACTGGCGAGC